AATTTGATACAGTTTACTTATTTATAATATTCCAACGGCCACTTCTAGTTATTCGCCTCTGTGTTCCCAAGCTTTAATGAAACACATTAATAACATCTGCGCACACTAAAATGTCTTTTGTTTCTTGTACGATTTCGGAAATTGTACTCTCTTTTGTGCTATACTCGGTTAATATTACACCGTTATTTTCCAAGGGAAATATTATTTGGTCTAATTTATATGAAATAGTGGGAATTATGTTCAGTTTCATTGTGCTACAGTCATTCATTGAAATCCAGGGAGTAATAATAAAGGTTATATTAAATTTCTCATGAGATATAATGACAGTCCACCTCACTATTGTGTGTCTACTAGTTTTTACCCGCGTCTACGTCTGTATGACCAGTATGTATTGATTGAATGGAATAAAAATTGTCGATGTCTTTCTTTACTCCAAATACTATGTGCATGCCAAATTTCATAAGTGACTGAATCCTTAAGGAACTAGTAACAAACACACAAATACTTTCATATTTTTAATTAGTTCTATCCTACTTTGTTCGCGGGAATTAGTACATAAAGTATCTTATATGCTAAGTTAGGACTTAATTTACACGTATACCAAATTTCATTCATCCAAATCCAATATTTATTTTTTGTTTGAAAAAGTAACAAACATCTAACAAATAAACAAGTAACAATCTGTCCATCTTTACAAACTTTCTCATTTATAATATTAATAGTTTAATATATATATATATATATATATATATATATATATATATATATATATATATATATATATATATATATATATATATATATATATATATATATATATATATATATATATATATATATATATATATATATATATATATATATATATATATATATATATACGTACTGTATGTACCGTACGTATGGCGACTACTAGCCCTAAGGGGAAGACTTATGTTCAGCAATAGATAGTTAAAGGCTGATATGATAATCTACCTGTGTACAAAATTTTATTCAAATCTGTTCAACCGTTAAAGCGAAATGAAGTAATAAATACCCAAACAACTTTACAAATTTTTATATTTATAGAATTAGTAGGATTAGTAAGAATTATAAAAAAAAGTAATATTATGTAAAAAACTTAAATAAGCAATAAATTTACAACTGTTTTCGCTACAGTGAAAACATTAAATATTTATCTACCCTCATTCATAGAAATAAAAAGGTTAACATCAATATGAATATCAAACAAAGTAAGCCAATAACCATCACAGTGCATAAAACATGAAGTTTTATGCAATTTGCAAATATACAAAGTGCATTTAAACATAAATAATTACCTACGTTATATGCATATTAAACATGTAAAACAAAGTTGCGACTGTAACTTTGGGTACCACAAACATTGTACTTGAGCAAATAGTTAACGTTAAATGACATTGCTCCAGGCAGATTTACTCTAGATAGCAAGCAATAGGAATGCTATGAAATAGCTAATTTATTTTCTGACCTAGATGTTATATCATTGGAAGTCCGTAGCAATGGTTATGTAATTAGAATTAGTTTTTTTTTTACGAAACTTAAAATGGCAAATAAGCTGACGGCCCACCTAATAGAAAATGGTAACCGTCGTTTATAAATATGAGCAGAACCATGGACATAACAGAGTATACTATTTCGCCCATGATACCCCCATGCGATGCCATTCCTGAGGACTAAGGTGTTATTTCTCTGTACCCAGTAAATTCACGCCATATCTCACCCTTCAAACCGAAACCCAGCCATGCAAATACAACTGCTTTACGGTTGAAACACGAATAGGACAGAGGTACCCAAGCAATCGAGTTTTGTTCAGTCTCCATCAGTCTTTGGATGTTGGTAGTCCCACAATAATGATAGCAGAATTAAACATAATAATTTTAATCAAAAAATGTAATTTATTTCTGAATTAAATATTAATTAATTAAAAATTAATTAAAATTATTATAGGGGCCATAAAATGAATTTTGTATTTTTTTTTTCTACTAATATAGTTTAAGTCAATTGTTACTAACAAGAATGGATCTTTGTAATCTATAAATAAAGAAATATTATATTATATTATTATTAAATTTAAACTGCTTGTAGAATATATTTTGTACCTATTTGTTGATTTTCTTAATATTATACTCGTAGATACATAAATAAGTTTGTTCGTTTCTTCTTGCAGCTTTAACGATTCAACTATTCCTTTTGAAATTTGAATATTTATTAACAACAAAAAAATGGAACACAGGCCACCTTTTCCTACAATGAATGTATGTTACGGCCACGCAGACAAAGTCGCGGAATAAACATGTTATAAATAAACAAATAAATTAATCACAACGTGTCAATTTAACCTTGTCACAGTCGATGTCATTGTTTTCTTTTTTTTTTTGCGCAGCAAAATCTAAATGTTGTGGAAAAAGTAAATAAAAAATTCAAATCTTAAATTATTTATAACTTCTCTGGCATTGGCCCGTTTTTACTGTCGCTCACTTGGTTTCGCTGGAATCAAATCAATGTATCCATAAATCAATTTGTTACTTTCTTTCCTATTCCCATCGGGCTGTGTGAATTCTGTTGTTTATTGTGACACTTTGAAATATCTAGAATAAAACTTTTGGATATTATTTTACGCTGGAGCAATGGAAACATGGTTGTGCAGGTTTAAATGGGATTGTCTTTTTATTTTTAAGATATTTCTAAAAATCTAAGTGTGTGTGCGTGCGTGTGTCCATGTTATTAATGCATGCATGTTATTAATGTGTGCACATGCTCGCGCGCCTTTGTCTGTGTGTGCGCACCCATGCGAGCGTGCGTGCATTTGTGTGTGTGCGTGTATATGTGCGTGCTTTTGTGTGTGAGTGTGTGTGCGTATATGTGCGTGCTTTTGTGTGTGAGTGTGTGTGCGTATACGTGTGTGTGGTTGTGTTTCATTTTCTCTGTGTATAATACGAAATCTTCCTAAATTCTGAACAGATTTTTATTACTAAACTATACTAATTTTAGACAACATTGAATTTTCCGTAACATGGTATTTAAATTTTTACTTTTCAATTAATTATTGTTAAAATCCGATAAAGAAAATTAATCTGAGTAACAGCGACAAGTTCTCCCCTTGCCACAATGAGTACATTACACAACTATATTACATATTCGGCGAAATGCGGGCATATCGAGTGTTTATTTATTTATTTATTTTCAGTGTTGACTACAATAGTAACAGATATCAAGTGTCTGCGGCTTCCATCAGTAATTATAGTCGTAAATAACTTTATTTTTCAGATAGAGATTTATTTGATGATTCACATTAAGTACTTGTACTGTCATATGCAATTAATTCGTATTAACTCAGAATATCTATTATTAACAAATCAATTTGCAATTAGTTTGAAATATTAAATGAAAATAAAAGTCTTTCAAATCATATATTGTGAGCAGATTTATAGAATTTGTAATTAATAGCTATCACAGTCATAGATAAATCATGTTTTGAAGTGAGTAATGAATACATGTTTGAAATAAATGTAACACAGGCCCATTAATAAATATAAATATTAAAAGCCGGTATCAGTTACTAGTATTAGATTAAACATTTGATAATATAATATATTCGTGTTTCTACCGTGAAGCAGTTGTGTTTGAATGGCTGTGTTTCGGTTTAAAGGGTGGGATATATACCGATACGAAATAACCATCAAGAAAAGAGCGTATTCCTTTTTAAAAGACCGGCAGCACACCTGCAATGCCGTTAGTGTTGTGAGTGATCAAGGGCGGCGGTAGTCACTTACCACCAGGGGAGCCGCATGCTCGTTTGCCCGAGGTGTTGTAAAAAAAAATATGGCAGTGAATTTACAGGGTACAGAGGATAACTCCTGAGTTCTCAAGAATGACAACGCATGCGGAGTATCATGGGTGAAACAGTATACTCTGTTATGTCCATGGTACTGTTCATGTCTATAGGCGACGGTTACCATTTTCCATCAGGTGGGCCGTATGCTTGTTTGCCACTTCAGTGGTATAAAAAAATGAGTACATACACGTTTATTTAAATTTAAATACATTTATTAGAGAAAGTAGTAGTTAGTTTCTAAACTTTTTCCATTTATAATAGATATTACAAGCAATGAAAACTTTAGTAAGACTAGTTATTTTGAAATTGCAAATACGAATGGCAAAACTGAGTATCAATTTAATAATAGATTGTGCCAGGCGTGGCAACTACTGGCAAAACTGCCCTTATGAGGAAGGCTTATGTCCAGCAGTGGACAGTTGAGGGCAGAAATAATAATGAGGGTGCCGCCCTCTTGTGTTAAAAGTTTCTGGTGCGGTTTTTATGAATCTATCACCCAATTTGGAATGCATTTTCAATGCGGAGAAGAACTGGTAACAATTACAGCTGTTGCTTATTTTTCAAATAAAAGTTAAGTTTATAACAAAAAAAATATGAATGAATAATAAGACTATAACAAACTTCATATTGATAAAAGGAAAGAAAATAAAAAAAAAAACTACAAAGCTACAATCAAGCACAGTATTCGTGAACAGACCAGTCTCTACTAGAAGCACCCGTTCACGAGTATGACGGATGAGTCAATTATCACTGTTTTCAACCATATTGTATGAAGCCTAACGATCCGGCCCACTATGCTGCCACATTTAATTTTTTTTAAAGAACTTAGAATGGCAAGAGCTGTAGACATGAGCAGTACCATGGACATAACAGAGTATACTGTTTCGCTCATGATACCCCCCATGTGTTGCCATTCCTGAGGACTCAGGTCTTATTCCTCTGTACCCTGTAAATTCATGCCATATTTCACCCTTCAAACCGAAACAGCCATGCAAACACAATTGCTTTACTGTAGAAACACGAATGGGACAGAAGTACCCAAGCAATTGACTTTTGTACAAAGTCTCCCTCTGGTGACTTTCTATTTGAAGAGTCGTCAGCTTACTTGCTATTTCAAGTTGCATAAAAAAAGTCCTGTACCAACCTTGGCTCTCGTTGAAGAATCCAAGTACCATAATAACAATGACCACCACTCCGATCTTGAGTCGGTAGCTGACTGACATTGTCTGGACTTCCACCGCCCTCCACATCTCGACGATGGCTCAACCCTGTCTCATCCATTCGTTGAACAGTTTCGTGTCTTCAACACGAGGCGACTTGTTCGTTTTTGGATGATGCATTATCTGGAACAACCATGAACACGCATTTGTGATGACAAGTACACTTTACTGCACAAAAAACAGTGACATCTATCGTGAAATATAGCGAAACGGTGTTTCGTAAACTTAAAAAGTTTGAATTTAGAACTTGGATTTGTATGTATAAAAATAGTGTATTACCCTCTAAAAATAACTTTTCTTCTATAATTACAAAATTAATATAGGACTAACACGGTAACAAAATCTATTGATTGCAAAAACAAATCATAATTTGTACAGAATTACGGAAGTTATCATGTAACGTATACATATAAAAATATATAAGTTTATATAATATCTAAAATATATAATATCTCTTCTTATCCTGTGTTTTAAAGCGATATGAAAATACTCGTTTTCTGACGACTTTAAAAAAGGAGGAGGTGCTCTATTTGGTTGCATTTATATGTTACTGTTACTTCACAACTCTATCATCTGAAAGAATATACTTTCAAATTAGCTCTAATGAAATTTTATCAAAATCGTTTAAGTTAAAACATAACCTAACTGTATATATCTGTTCATTGCTGAACATAGGCCACCCCAATGACTGCCATATGAAACGGTTTTAAGTCACCTGCATCCACTAAGTCCCTGCAATGCACTTGAGATCGTCACTTCATCTAGTGGAGGGTCGGGGGGGATTGTTAATAATGCGGACTACCAGTTCCATTGCTAGCAATATATCCTGTCAGGTAAACCTCCACGTGGTCTCCCCTGGAAACCATCGTACTGAATCTCAGGTGTATTCATCACGACGGACTAACTGACGTGCCTTTTCATTCTCACCTGTCATCCCTCACTGGTGTCCCGCCAGTATATACTGTTAACGCAGGCGAGCTAGCCATTTCATTATCATCCATTAAAAAAAAAGTGGAGGGTCGTCCTACACTGCGTTTGCCCGTACATCAAAACATCAAAAGTCGATTGCTTGAGTACCTCTGTCCCATTCGTGTTTCAACCGTGAAGCAGTTTTGTTTGCATGGCTGTGTTTCAGTTTTAAGGGTGAGATATGGCGTGCATTTACTGGGTACAGAGGAATAACACCTGAGTCCTCAGGAATGGCAACGCATGGGGGGTATCATGGGCAAAACAGTATAATCTGTTATGTCCATGGTACTGCTCATATCTATAGGCGACGGTTATCACTTTCCATCAAGTGGACCGTCAGCTTGTTTGCCATTCTAAGTTATATATAAAAAAAAATCTTTATAAATTTCCGCGTTCATAATATAAGTATTATTCAACTGTGAAGTTTAACAACGTGATAATTGTTAAAAATAAAGTATACATAATTCTAGGAGATGCTAATTATTGTACTTTTACCCCGGTGGTCGTGCTATTATGAAATTAGGGTTGGCCCATTGGCGCACGATAAACAACTGGCCCCCGAATCACGCACAGAAAGTTTTTGTCCCAAAACTCTACGACTTGTGGGATGAGTTTTCATACAACTAACTATACATTTTAAATTTAACAGTTTAAACAACTTAGCATAATACATAGGATGGGGGAAAGGGATTGTTAGCAATGGAGTTTGACAGCCCCATTGCTAGCAATATTCCTCATTAGGTCGACCTCCACGTGGTTCCTCCTGGAAACCATCGTGAACAAGTCTTGTTGAATTTATCACGATGGGCTAACTGACCTACTTCATCCTCACCTATCATTCTTCACTGGTGCCCCGCCGGTGTATACCGATAGCGCAGGTTGGGCTACCATTCCATTATTATCCATTAAAAAAATACATAGGATTTTACCTATTTACGATAGAGTTTTGTAGACAATGGGTAAAAGGGAACACTTATATCTAGGACATAGTATTTTTTTTTAATTATTAGTGAGATCTGTAATTACTCAAATTCTATTACTAATTTATATATGAGATATTGTTGATTAATTTACTGACCTATATATCAACGAACGGCCGAAACCGTTAAATCTAGAATCTTGAAATTTTGTAGATAGATTCTTTATATAACATAGGTGAACAATAATAAAGAAATTTAAAAAATCCAACTTTTAAGAGGCTTTGAGGCTAAGAGAGAGAAACGAGGGTTGAAAGTTTGTATGAAATTTCGTCAGTTTAGAAATTAGACACCTGAAATTTTAGATTTAGGCTCCTAGTTAAAAATAAAAATTAATATGTTTATTGTTTTTTTAATAATTAACACCTAAAAAGGTGAAATAGACAATGAAAATTTGTGAGCGAGTTCTATTATAATTAAAACTAGAAATATTAAATTTTAGTTTTTGATTTCTGATTAGAAATAAATACTTTTCAGCATTTTTTGAAATTTCACCCCTAGATAGAAAAGTGATATTTTCGCGAGTAATCACATACTCGTATCCCACTCGAATAAAGCCGCAGGGAAGAGGCATTTTTGCCATGTAATAACAAAAAAACATAACTGCACGGTAAGAAGAGTGGAGCAGTGTGGAAAAACAAAGGAAAGAAGAAAAAAGTCACTGTCTTCGAATAAGTAACGTATTCATTGAATCTCATCAACTTAAATAAAAAAAAATTAAATCACTTTTAACGCAATTTTTTTAATGAAATTTGTCTATACAATACTATGCCTGAAGTAATTTTAAATTAATTTATTATTGTCATTAGAAGGATTTTTAATAGTTACATATAGCTAAAAAAAATTTTTTTATAAAATTATAAAATAACATCTATCTTTTGTTCAATTGTCAACCCTACAATATTTCGGCATCTTTTGTTCATTCGCAAGAAAACTTCTCAATTAGCGAGTTTACCGCTCACAAGGAAAGTTACCGAACCCCCCCAACCATTAAAGCATCTTTTAGAATCACCGGAGTTACCAACGTGCAAGTTTTAATGTCTTCAGAGAGAAATTTCTTTGTTGTGACACGGTTGGACGCACAAATAAAAACATCTCTTTTAGGTTTTACACCCCTTCCTTAAATTAGGTTTGAGGTTTTTTTATTCTATTCAAATTTTTATTTTTTTTAACTTCATCTTGGTCAAGTTTTCAAATTTATAATATAAAGCAAATACCAACAAGTAGGTACACTTTGCGACCCAAAAACGAGATTTCAATTTTACACGGTATACACACACGAACACATTGATGTATGATGATTGACAACTCATAACAATAGATTAAAAATATTTATTTATTTTATATTTTATTGCACCAGTTATACAAAATAATAAATACAGAGTAAATTATTTATGCGAAGCTTGTAAATATAATTTGAATTTAGAATGTAAAATTTGATCAGGCGTTTTCTGTGCATGTTATATTATACAATCACAAAAATTTGGTTTTGACCAGTCAAAAAACATCTGGGAGTTACTATTCGGAATTACATCAATTCATCAAAATAGTAAGGTAGAGTTTTGTCCAAGGTCTCTTGAAAGACGTGGTGCTCTTTCTCTAGATATAAAGGAAGCGCATTTAACAACTTGAATGTCAATTTTTACATATCATCAATAACAGAATAAGAAACGTAAAAAACATTCGTACCAGGAGAACAAAGATTGACACATCTACCATTTGGACGTACACCAGTTCTAAAAAAATTGGTAAGGGTTTTGTTCAAGTCTTGATAGATAGTCATTTAAATCACGTGATGATCTCTTTCCAGATATAAAGGAGGCAATCTAAAAAAAAATTACCTAAAGAGTGCATGCACTAGGAGAACAGAAATCGACAGAGCTGTTATACTCGACCAACTTTAAGAAATTAGAAACAAGTAGCGGCTGTGCTTGGAACCTTTCAGAACATTGTTCTAGAATACTTTAGTATCTGAACGAAAAGTTTAACTATTTACTAACTATATCCATGATAAATATGTATTATATAGAGAGGCCTGGAATGCCTTGATAGCTCGTGATATGAAAAACACGATACCTGTAATACCTGAAAAATATTTTTCTCTTTGTTTTATATCATAAACCTACCCAAAAAGCCATCATTAAATTTTCTATATTGAAATATTATTTTACTCATATTTATATAAAATTGCTGATCCATTTTAAAATAAAAAAATCTCTCTCCTTATTTCAATATATTTACTGTAAAAAATAACATTTCGAGCTTCACCAAAGATGAGGATTAAAAAGGGTTTGAATGAATGATTAAATGAACTGAAATAAAGACACCGTAATCCACATCGAAGAGGGAACTGCTATGTTATACTCTTAATTCTGAAAAAAGGTGAAAATAAAAAGACATACATATATGGTAGCGGAATTATATAAATTTAGAGAAAATAAATAACCAGTAACATGGACTTCCTTAAGATAACACCTAGTTCAGGAAAAAAATAAAAAGAATCATTCGATAAACAGCCTCCTTCAGATGCTAAAAAGATCTAATGTCCTTCAGATATTCCAATTTCGCTCTCACTGACGTGATAAGTCATAATTAAAAGAAATAAGGTCAGAAGCGAGTTGAGTCGTTAGTCGAAGTTACTCACTAATAATCTATAAATAGGGTATTGTTTTATTTAAATAAAAACATTTTGAATTACGTATTTAGTGGATGCAGATGGCTTAGGACCGTTCCTTATGGCAGTCTATGGGGGAGGCCTATGTTCAGCAGTGGACAGATAATGGTTGAGATGATGATGACGATGTAAATATAATAATTTCAATATATAAAGATGATTTAAGTGCTTTGTTCATTATTAAAGTCACTTATAAACCAGTCGAGTTCATGTTACTTAACGTGTCTACATATTTATCGTATTTACATTGTCACACACTAATTATAGACAAACAATGCTTGTTATGTCAAATAAATTATACAGACAAGTTACAATAACTATGTAGGAACCACTAAAATTTCCTGCTTACAGCTACATATTAAATTCTTGTCAGAAAGGGACGCCCGACCATGACAGGGCACACTGGTAATGGCTCTCATTAACTACAGTTGCGAGAAATCCATTAGACCGATATATACCCATGGAAATAGGTTATATTCTTATTTGCCGAAGCGGCAATCATA